TCAGCCTCAGGACATGGCTGGGGCAGGCCGCACTTGTACTTCCTGGTCCTTGGTTCTGAGTAATGATAGCAGATGTGACCCATGTGCCTGGCCCTGGTGTTACCTGAGATCTGAGGGTAGAGGTCAGGACCAGCCACATGACTGAAGGAGCAGCCACAGAGCATGGAACTGGGGAAGACAGTGGGTGGGGCTCAGACCAAAGCTGGGAATGCTTCCAAGTGGTGTGTTGGCAAGGGAGTAGGAACTCCAAGAATGAGGGTTTTTTGCTACTGGTAGGAAAAGGGAAAGGGGGTTGAGAGCTGGCTTGGAACACTTATACAATCAGAACTAAGCAGAGGTCCAGAAAATCAGGGTGGAAGCTCCATGGATAAGGCACACAGTCAGCAAAGTAGATGAACTGGGGTGGGTGGGTGGAGCATGCGAGCTCTGCTAGCCTCTGGATTTCTTCAGGGTGAGGGTGGGGATGACCTCTATAATGGCTTGGATTATAACTCTACAGAAAATATACTGGAGTCTGAATTCCCAGTTTCTCAGGGGTCTTGCTGGGAAACAGGGTCTTTACAGACAGATAAATTATGATGAGGTGTCACTGGACTATGGTTGAGTCCTTAATGCAATGTGACTGGTGTCCTCATGAGAAGAAAAGAGGTAAAACCACACAGAAGGAGATTCTGTGAGACAGTACAGGAAAAAGGTAGAGTGGTACAGCTACAAAATGAGGAACAAAGAAGGCTTCTAGGATCTGCAGAGGCACAGGAAGACCTTTAACTGGAGCTTTCAGTGGGAGCACAGCCCTGCTGACACCTTCATTCATACTCTTGGCTTCCAGAATTGTAAGAAAGTAAATTTTGGTTGTTTAAGGCACTATTTTTCATAGGATAGCTTCAGGAAGCTACTATAGGTTTTGGTGCCAGGAATTGGGGGGGTTATGTAAATAAATACCACAAATACCTAACAATATGGACATGGATTTGGAACTGGGTAGAGTGGATAAAGGATGCAGAGCTCTGAGGTATATAGTAGAAAGAGCCTGTACTGCTTAAAGAAAAAAAAGGAAAAAAAAAACCTGTTGGTAGGAATACAGAGTAAAGCCAGGTATGCTACTGAATAGCTGTAATCCCAGCACTTGTAAGGCTGTGTAGGAGAATCATGGTTTCAAGGCTATCCTGGGCTACACAGTCTCTGTGTTAAAACCAATTTAGCAAGCAATATGGATAGTAAACACAGTTCTGGTGCAATCTCAGGAAGAAGAGAATAATAGAGAAGTTTTTTTTTTTTTTGGTTTTGAGAGACAGGATTTCTCTGTGGTTCATTTTAAGATGAGAGCAGACAGAGAAGTTGGGGGAAAAACATTAGTCATGAAGGAGCTAGAACATAAACATAAAAAACAAATCCTAGTACTTGGGAGATGGAGGCAGGAAGATCAGGAATTTAAGGTTATTCTTGGTTATATAGTGAGGTTAATGATAGCCTAGGATTCATTAAAACCCTGTCACAAAAGAAAGGAGGGAAGAAAGAAAATGTTAGCCTAATTGTATTGTAAAAACTGAGAAAGCAGTCCAAACCTGTAATCCCAGCATTTGATATGGTAACACAGGAGGATCACCAAGAGTTTGAGAACTACATAGTAAATTCAAGGCCAGTCTGTGCTATAGAGTGAAACTCTATCAAAAAATATAAACTATTTTATGGGCTAGGAAAATAGCTCAGTGTAGAGTATTTGTTCAGTATGGATGAGATCTTAGGTTCAATTACCAACACCATAAACTTTTTAAAAAGGCATTCTTGAGAGAGAACACAAAGAGGATGGCTGGCTTAGTATTTACTAAAGAAAGGAAGCATGTGATTGTGGTTATGCTTCCACCTTTCAGAAGCCTGGACTTGATATGGGATTATACAGGATGGATCTCTGGAGGACTCTTTTGTCTTATAACCTGGCCCCTCATAAATCACAGGAGAGGCTAGGAAACTTTGTTAGAAGTTTATACCAACAGAAACACTCAGCCTATGAAAAGAACAAGAGATTAGAAGGAAGAAAGGAAGGAAAGACAGAAGGAAGAAAAGAAACAAGGAAGGGAGGGAGGGAGGAAGAAAATAAGGAAGGAAGATTCTGAATATAGAGCCAGGAATGAAGAGGCCAAAGAGGGAACCCAAGACAAAGGGTGACACTATCTCCCATTCCAGAGGATGGGGTCACTTTAGTGGGTCTACAAGCAAAGTATATGGACATACACATTTCTTTTTAGGTCTTGAAATCTAGAAGAATTGCCCTGCTATGTTTGGGATTTGCTTAGGACCATGAGTGCCCCCCCCCCTTTCCCAATGTCTTCCATTTGGAATGGTAATGTTTTTTTCCTTTGTCTGCTCCTCTCACATTCTGATGTAACTTTACTAGGTTGACAGCACAGAAGGCTATGATAGCTAGTGGGGAAAAGGCCAGATGAACAACAGGAATCCTGGTGGGCTTGGCTGGCAGTAGGCAGGGCTGTCACAAAAGGCAGTATGAAGTTCTGGCACAGGACAGGATAGGGAAGGGACAGGAAGCTTACCTGCAGTCACTGAGTTCTCTGGGCCTGTGGATACAGAGAGTTGTTTCTGTTAGCACAGAGGCCTCCAGGAACCTACAGCAGACCAGCCAGGATCAGGGACTTGGGGTCAAGTCAGGCTACACTTGGCATATTACCCGCTCAAGTCTCAATGATGCCCTGATGTAAAATTGCCTGCTCCAGGAAAAGGATGAATTGGAATTGTAAATAGTGCTTAGGTGACTTGGCACCAGTGACAAGATGTAGAGTCCCTTGTGTATCTCAGAGCCCAGCAGAAAGTCCAAGATGATCAAGTGTTCAGTGGAAGCCTTTCCACTCCTTACTCTCACTCTATCAACTTCCACTCAATATTGGATTGCAATTAGGGTGTGTTGCTCTCATATCAGTTGGTAGGGACAAGGCTGCATTTGTGTTAGAAGATAGGCTGAAGGTAGCAAAAAGCCTGTCAAGAAGGTGATGGAAAACCCAGCCATCACACCCCATATTGAACACCTGTACAGTGAGTCAAGAGGGTCCCCACACTCACTGGTGAAGAATTGTTGAATTCGAGGAAGGCCACCACCAGGACCACCCAGGAGGATGGTGACTAGGATCCAGGAGAGACCCATAGTGATGATTAGGGCCACGATGCGAAGGGGGCCTGCAGGCAGGACAGACATAGGGCAGGTCCATCTCAGACACCAGTGAAGAAACACAGCAACAACCCACTGCCTCACATGACTAGATCTCCCCTTCTATTTGGCAACAAGTGATGGCAGGATCGAAAGGTGGAGGAACCATTGCTACCCACCAGACCCAAGTAGGAGACATGAAATTACTCCTGGTGGAGGGAAGAAAGTGAGTTTAAATGTTGAGGTTACTATGGTTTTCCCCAGCAGGTTTGGAAGGACTTTTTAGAACTCATGCTCTGGACAGGTTCCATATTACCAACCTCAGCATCTTGCCTCTGAAACTGTCAGTGTATTTACAGCTCACCCATCTGTCTCTCCTTTCCTCTTGTTCTGATGAAAGATCTAAACTTTTGAAGACCAGTACTTCTGCTCGCTTCAAGATCCATCAAGTTCTCTCCTGTCTCAGGTATGTTGTGTTAAGGCTCCTTCTTTCTATTTCACTTTCATAATATTAACAGGTCCTAACTTAATAACATAAAGATGAAACAGAGCTCCTGCAAGAAAAATCTCATCCTTTAACTCCTCACCTTCCACTTCCCCACCAAATTCTTTAAAACTTTATTCTTTGCTGGGGATATAGCTCTGTGGTACAGCATTTGTCCAGCATGCATGAGACCCTGAGTTCCATCCCCAGCATACACATTAAAAAAGTCATCTACATTGTGATTTCTATCATCTCACCCTCCACTCTCCCAAAATTCATCCAATGTAGTCTTGCCACCACAACAGCAAACAAATGACCTTCCAAACCAGACCACCCATGACTTTCATGATATAACATTTCTGATTGCCTGCCTGCTCTTTGTTGACATCTGGGTGGGCTACCCTAGCCATCCTGATGCAAACACTTCACTGCTAGCTTTTAGCACAGTCTCCTGACCTGAGTCTTTGGGACTTTCTCTTTTTTGGTTATGTCATCTTCCATTACTCTTTCCTCAAAAGCTAGTCTTTTCCAGGCTGCCTTCTCCTGTCTGCATACTCTCTTTATGGGAGATTTCATCTACCACAATTATCAAGTTAAACACCATGCAGCAATGACACCTTATTTTCTGGCTCTAGTCCTGATCAATCTTGAACCCACATCCTCCCTGTCAGTTCCTTATAGCCCTTACCAGCCCTTATCTATGAAGTTGCTACCTTATCAGTTCTTGAATTGTACTCTTACCCCAATCAGTCTGATCCACGAACCATTTTCATCCCCACAAGGTATCTTAGTTGTACAGCTGACAGCAGCCACGCCTCTCTGCTCTACTCTCCACCCCTCCCCACCCAGACACTAGACTCTTTGGAACCTCTTTCTCACAAGTCATTTTCCAAAACGCAACTGGCCTGTTACTTGAGTTGGGTGTAAGTGACTATATATTAATCCTTAACTTATAGTTTGGGAAGCTGAAATCTTCATAGGTGAAAGAATTTGCTCATAAAATAAGTGTTTGTGCACAGTCATCCATTAATAAATAACAAACCAGTGACTACCTGGGCCCCTCCTGACACAACCACTATGACGTCTGGACTCTCTTCCGTTCGCTGTGGAAGCCACCCACCTGCCAACCTCATGTCCACTTCTCCCACTGGGTTGGGACCTCCGGCAGGTGCACTGTTTGGGGACCGTGGGCTCTGAGAGGAATGAAGCAGGAGAGTAGGTTGGGTGGTGGGGTAGGGACAAGTCTGTGCTGGGCACGATCGGTGCTACAACTTGTTCCTCCAGACACCAGACCAGGCTCAGTTCCTCGTGAGCACTGGGAGAAGCACTTCCTAGCCAGCAGGGCTTTGGAAACCCGTCGCGGCTCTCAGTCTGGCTAACAGAAGCCTCCAGGACTGGAACGTAGCAATTGTTCTCCCTGACTCGGGCCCCTCCCGTGCTAGGCCCGGGGATCGGGTCGGTCCTGTTGAGGCTGCCGGCAGAGACCCGGCAGGCCAATGACGCTGCCTGGGTGTAGAAGGACGCAGATTGGATCAGGGATTTTCCAGTGGTCTCGATTTGCGGGCGAGGTGAAGCAAACGAGTCACGCAGAGAAGCTTGGCCAGCACGACAATGGCGGCCCAGGGAGGGTCACAGCCCACAGGCGCCGCTCCGCCATAAGCCCACAGGCTGCGCTGTGGGGCCGCAGGTCCCCACGCAGGCTCCGCCTTCAGACCCGCCTCCTCCCTCTTCTCCAGAGGCTGGGTGGGAGGTGCCTAGAGAGGCTATTTCCCTTCAGCTTGTACTCAAGCTGAGCCACCTAGCTTCCTGGAAAGAGCCTGAGTCATTGCTGCCAGATGAATCTCCTATACTTTTTTTTGAGATCGGATCACACCCTATAGTTCATGCTGGGATTACAGGTGTAAACCACCACAGCCAGCTTCCCCGCTGCCTCCACACGCTCTGTTTGGCGGGAGATCTTCTATTTATACAATTGGTGAGCCGAAGCTCTGCTTGAGACTTGAGATCAGAGCTCTCATGGCTGGTAAGAGAATGGATCTGGGGACGTAGATAATGACATTAGGTTAGCATGTGTTTTTTAAGAACACGGAAAGTCCAGAAGCACATGTGGAGGTAAAGCAAAGCCTGAGTCCCAGAGAGTGGCCCTTTGGTTGCTTTCTTTCTGCTCTGATTTTTTCCCCAGGGAGTCTTTTTTTTTTTCTATTTTATGTATCACTCAGTGTGGGATGTCTGGAATGTAACCCTCGTTCCTCTTGCTTGAGCTTTCTGTCTCGACCACCTACACTGCCAGGGCAGCTGAGACAGTTCGTTCAGCTGGAATCATCTGTCTCCTCAGGCAGCAGCTGGACAGAAGTAAAACAGCATTCCTGTCCTTTGACCCAATGATCCCACTTACAGGAACTCCACCACTTTTAGGTAATGCTCCAAAATATAGAAAAAGTTTATAGAAGCACTGTTTTGGTTAGAACATAGCATTTTCAATTTTGGTACACCTGTAATCTTGCTACCTGGGAGGTGGAGGCAGGAGTATCAAGAGTTTAAAGGCATCCTCGGCCCTTTATCAAGTTTGAGGATAGACTGAGATTCCTTAGACCTTGTCTCAAAAAAAAAAAAAATGGTGGGATAGAGATGGCTCAGCGGTTAAGAGCACTAGCTATTTTTCAGATGTCCTGAGTTTAATTCCCAGCAATAGTGTCTCACAATCATCTGTAATGAGATCTGGTATCCTCTTCTGGCCTGCAAGCATATACATGTAGGCAGAACACTGTATGCATACTAACTAACTAATTCAGTGTCAATCATTTGTTGTTGTTTTCGAGACAGGGTTTCTCTGTGGCTTTGGAGGCTGTCCTGGAACTAGGTCTTGTAGACCAGGCTGGTCTCGAACTCACAGAGATCCACCTGCCTCTGCCTCCTGAGTGCTGGGATTAAAGGCGTGTGCCACCAACGCCCAACTCAGTGTCAAGCATTTTTTAAAAATGGTGGTAATGGAGTCAGGTGTGCTAGTTTATGTCTGTAATCCCAGCATTTGGGAGACAGAGGCAGGAGGATCAGAAATTGAAGGCCAATATCAGCTAAAAGTGAGTTTGTGGTCAGCCTGAAGTGCATGAAAACCTATCTTTAAAAAAATTGTTGAGTGGTGATGGTACATGCCTTTAATCCCAGCAATTGGTTGTAGTGATATTGTGTTTATACGCTTAACAAATAAAGCTTGACTGAAGATCAGAGGGCAGAGCTAGTCACCAGCTAACCATAGAGGTCTGGAGGTCTGTACAGACAGAAAGTGAGATGGCTGGGTTGAGAGAGGAAGTGATTAATTAGGCAGGAGGGGGAGGAGACAGGAGCTTGGTCTCTTTTCAGTATGTGGATTTTTGTAGAGATAAGGATATGTAAATATGAGTAATTAAAAATAATAAAAAATTAAAAAAGAGCTCTAGTGGCTGGATGCTCTGCTTCTCTGATCCTTCAGTTTTCACCCCCTAATATCATACTCTGGACTGTTAAATTATTAAGGCCTATTAGAACTTGTGTAACATATTGGTGCCCAACTTAAAGGCATGAACTCATGGAAAAGCCACTTGTCTGTGGCTTTGAGCAACCAGCACAGGCCAGAGCTGCATGAGGGGCTCCCGCTGGAGTCACTGCCCCCCCTGCCCGGCTAGGTTTTCTTTTCTTTTTTCCCAAGCTCTTAGCAAGTTTGGGATTTTCTTGTAGCCTCTCTAAAACAGTTTCAAGATGCCACCCAAATTCCAGAGGCATGTGGGTTCCAAACGCCACAGGATTTACCTACCCTAGACTGGCTGGCTCTGCCTTCAGGCAGCTCCCATAACACATGCTTCTTCTGCACAATTCCTTGTGTGTTTTTCAGACAGCCTGCTTTCCCCTCCCTTGTGGGTTGCAGGCTTTCCCTAGACCACCTCTCCTTGGGCTGCCACTCTCAGCACATGGCTACACACTAGCAGCTGCAGCTGTCCTCAGCCAGGTTGTACACCACCTGTATTCTCTGATCAGAAGTGCTATGCAGCTTTAAGCCCCACCATCTTCCTTGGAAGATTTGGTAAGACAACTGAGAATTATTAAAAGGGGGAATTAGTTAAAAAGAGAGAGAGTTTTCCCCATATTAAATAATAGGAAACACTATTACAGTGAAGGGATTTAGGTCTCTGTATGATAATATGCTGGACAGTTTGAAAATGGAACAATTAAATGAGAGGATAGCTAATTTAGATGGGACTTATAAACATCAGTTTTATCATTTTTGTTTTAACACTAAAAAGTTGGTTAATATGAGTGCTAAGATACAAGTTTTAGAAAAACTTAATAAAACAGATTTTACAGATAGTCAGACCCAGACAGAGGAATTTAATGGAGAAACAATTTCATCATGCATTACAAGGTTAGAGAGGAACAGCCTAAGGTTTTCAAACAACCAACTTTAATTTATCCAGTCAGGAACTGCCAAATGACAGATATCGCCAAGGGTGCTCGAGTTAAATGGACTCCTGTGGAAATGTTAGTTTTAAGGAGATTCAAGGAAGCAACAGTCTCATATGGCATGCATTCACATTTTGTGAAGCAGATGTTAAACTCATGGGCAACTTGTAATAGGATTATCCATAGAGATTGAAGAGACTTTGTTAAAGCTGTTTTAGAGTGTGGTCCTCAATTACAATGGAAGACCTGGTGAAAAGATGAGGCTAATATCTTAGAATGGATATTTTTTTTACCACATAAACAGAGTAAAAATTAAAAACTTATGTGGAAAAGATCTCTGAGTAGTTGATTCTAAAAGGAAAATTGAGACTTCATCAATTAGCAGGAATAGACCCAGCAAAAATTGTAGTACCAGCTGGGCATTGGTGGCCTATGACTTTAATCCCAACACTCAGGAGGCAGAAGCAGGCGGATCTCTGTAAGTTCAAGACCAGCCTTGTCTACAAAGTGAGTTCCAGGGCAGCCTCCAAAAAAGCAAAAAAAAAAAAAAAATTGTAGTACCTTTTTACTAATGATGAAATTGACAAATTATGGGCATAAAGTGAATCTTAGTAAAGAGTTTACAGTAATATTTTGGGAGAGATTTACAACAACTATCCCAAAAGCAAGAGAATTCAATTTATAAAGAGAACTAACTGGATCCCTCCTTGCATTGTATGGGGAACACCAATATTTGGAGCTCCTACATTTTATACTGATGCAAACAAATCAGGAAAAGCAGGTTACAAATCAGAAAATTTAAGTAAAGTGGCTCAAAATTCTTATGATTTTGTCCAAAAGTCAAAATTATATGCTATTCTTATGGTATTAATGGATTTTATGGAACATCTCAACATAGTCACTGATATGCAGTATGCAAAAAGAGTTGCTTTGCATATTGAAACTGCTGAATTTATACCAGATGATACAGAATTGACTTTATTATTTATTGTTACAAGAAATAATCAGGAATAGGAATCATTCTATATATAAAACAAACATCTAATCCCATGGCCCTCTAGCACAAGGTAATGATGAAATTGATCAACTATTGATACACAATATGCTGGATGGTCCTTCAAGGTTCCTGCTTTACAGAAGAAAGCAACTGATGAACTTTGCCAGTACAAGACAGAGCAGATCTTCAAATTTCCTACTTTATTAAAAAGTCTACCCGACACTATGGCTTATGGGCTGAAGATGGATGCCCCAACATTACAAGAGAAACTTTGACTGTCTAGGCAGTGAGATGTCTTTGTCAATTCTTTTTTTTTTATTCTTTTATTAGTTCAAATTAGGAACAAACTTGTTTCACATGTCAATCCCTTCTCCCTCTCCCTCCCCTCCAGTCTTTGTCAATTCTATAGCTTATATATTATCCTTCTGGGGTCTTTGATGGAGTTGAAGACAGATAGTTATGGTTATGGTTTTCCTTAGTTATGATAAGATATTGTTACATATTAAACTTTAGAGTCACAAAGATAGGATAGATGATAGAATATTTTCTTTAAATTTTGCCAAATGTTAGCAAACTAAATATTGTTAACTATAGTTCTTGCTTGATAACTGTTTTGTTATGTACTTTTACTATGTCAAAGTTCAAACCTTCTTTTTTATTTAGAAAGAAAAGAGGAGCCAGGAGGTGGTGGCACACGCCTTTAATCCCAGTACTCGGGAAGCAGAGGCAGGCGGATCTCCGTGAGTTCAAGACCAGCCTGGTCTACAAGAGCTAGTTCCAGGACAGCCTCCAAAGCCACAGAGAAACCCTGTCTTGAAAAAACAAACAAACAAACAAACAAACAAACAAACAAAAAAGAGAAGATGATGGGGGTGTCCTTCTGAATACATGTTTCCCTTATTGGTTGATGAGTAAAGCTGTTGCAGCCAATAGACAGGTAAGATGTAGCCAGGAAATAAGCATAGGTGGGGCTACCAGACTAGGAAAATTCTGGGAAGAGGAACGCAGAGAGAAGTTGCCAGAGAGATGCCATGTAGCTGCTGAGAGAGCAACAGGGCTGGGCATCACCAGTAATCAAAGGCAAAGTGGAGATATACAGATTAATAGAAATGGGTTAATAATTAAGAGCGAGCTAGCCAAATAAGAAACCCGAGCCATCAAGCCAAACAGTTTATAATTAATAGAGGCCTCTGTGTGTTTATTTGGGACTGAAGGGTGGTGGGACCAGGCTAAACAG